TTCGTGTTTGGCTCGTTTGAAATTTAGTTTGTTTGAAATAAGCTCGTGTTCGAAATTGTTCGTGAAGTCATTGTTCGTGTTTGTATTTTAACGAACGAGCCGACCACGAGCCAAACACGAGTTGTTCGAATGACGAGCCAATTTTACTTTCCTATCCCTATTATATTTTATATATATATATATTAATTATATAACTTATATTATATAAATATATAATATCTATATTAGTATATTACTAATATAGTATATTAGTATATATTATTATTATTATTATTAATTTATTATATATTATAATTTATAAAATTTAATTTTTTAAAATATCATAAATTTTTTATATATAATACTTTTAAATTATTTAATATTTCAAACAATAATGATTCGAACACGAACAAACACATCATTATTCATGTTTTGATTCATTTACTAACCGAACAAAAAAATTTATTCACGTTCATCTCTTTTACTTATCGAACGAATTAAACACAAACTCATTGACAAATCGAACACGAACTGTTCGCGAACAACGAGCTTTTTTGATAGCGGACAGCCCCACGGACATGGTGGATAGGGATTTGATGGTATTCATCACAATATCATCGTAATATCACTAATCCACATATAAATTATTGGAACTTAATATTTACCTTCATGCCAGACAGTAGACGACCTTCCTTTCGCCACATATTGTTTAGCATGGGCCCCTTCGCTCGCCCAAACGCATACGTCGAAAGCTAATATTGATTCAAATCTTATTTACTCTCTGTTTATAAAAATAACAAATCTTCAATCTAAATCAAGAAAAAACTATATTTATCTACACAATTTTTATATATTTACATATATATTTAACAACTAGATTTTATTAATACTTTATAAAAACTATTAAATGCCAGCTCAATCTGCTAGCCTTTGATATTTATTTAGAAACAAACACATTCATCATCCAATTCATATATATTTACATATTTAACACTTAAATTTTATTTTATATTTATAGCATCCAACTTTTTAATATTCATATTTACTATTTTAATTTTTTAAATTAAAAATTTTTTTTATACAAAGGTATATATTTTATAAAATAAAAGTACAGGTGATAGATATATAAATACATAAGAATTAAGGAAAAATTATTGCATCAGGACTCCGAGTTACATGCGGAGTCCAACGAAATCACGCCACGTGGAGGTAAACAAAAAAAATAAATCTATCCGGTAACACAGGAGAATATTCTTCCCCGTGTTATTCTGTTATTCAGGTGTTATTGTATGTTATTCAGGTGTTATTGTGTTCTGAGAATATTCTCGGTGTTATAATGACACAATAACACATCAATAACACTTAAATAACACATAATAACACATGAATAACACAAAATAACACTTGAATAACACAAAAGGAATATTTTCTTGTGTTACCGGATATATTTTATTTTTTTTTACTATCACCGCCACGTGACATGAATTCATTGGACTCCTTGGATAACCCTACATGCTAAGTACATTCAGCAATATGTAGGTAAATTTAAAAAAAAAAAAAATCGGTAGTTCTGAAACGATAAGTAACGCGCAGTAGGACGTTTAAGAAATAAAAAAAGCTCGCTTTCACTTAACTAATTATATTCCTAGCAAAAGTTAAAATAGGAATTTTGGGAACGGACTCCAATAAATTAAAATGGGGGTTTTACCAAAAGGAAATTTATTTAATTCACCAACGGTAAAATTCGAAGGAAAATTTCGGTCATCATTCCTTAAAAAATATATAATTTTGGTCAGGACCTGTTTAAATGTTATAGAATTTTTTTAACGTAACTATAATATTTAGTTAATTAATCATTTGATTTTTACAGTATATTTATTTATTTTTTAAGTAAATTCAAAAGCTTTGATATTTATTTGATCAAACATTAATCATAGTTTTCTGACCCGAAGTTTGTGGTAACTTAATTTTGTTAATTTATCTTAAAATTATATATATATATATATATATATATAGCTTATTATCTTTCTTTAGTACCAAAAACTAGGTCCCATTGGTGACTGCATGTAAACCCTCAGTTACATAAATAACAGACTATTGTCTTAGCGATGTGCAAATATTTAGTACACACACAGATGAAAGAAAAAAAACGGAGATGACTCCAGAATTTTTTACGTGGAAAATCTGTAAGGGGAAAACCAAGGGGTCTGACCCAGTTGCGGAAATCCACTATTAATTGATGATTACAGAAATCTCTTGTCCCACAGACGAGAAATAATTACTATATTTTTCAGATTACAAGGTTGACTAACGACGTATGGTTGGAGGTGATCGATGGTGATTAGTGCTGGTGGATGATACTTGGCGGAGGTCGACGACGGTCGGCGGTGGTCGATGACAGTCGACGAGGGTCAACGGCAGTCAGCGGTGATGCTGAGCTACTGCTTCTTCTCAAGGCCTCAGGCTCTCTCTCTCTAAATTTCAGTTTCCCCTCATGTGAGAGGTGGGGGTCTATTTATAGTGTTCTGGGTGCAATTAATGCAGGAATATCAATCATTTTGATCGGACGGTCCAGAAAGTTTTCTCCGATCATGCGACGTTTATTAGATATTTGAGTGCCTTAACGATGTTAGAATTGAGTGATCTTGGTCTCGTTGGTTTCGTCTTGTCGAGCCCCTCGATCCGAGTATAAACTTGCCAGCGTTGACATCTGTTTGATCTTACAAATGTGTTCATAAATCTTTCAATGGTGGTTTAATGACTTGATCTGAGCTTGATTTGACTCGGATTTGACTAATTTTCATATCATTAGGTCCCATATCATTAGGTCCGTCTCCATATCATTAGGTCCGTCTCATTAAGCCGGTGAGTTTGACTATAAGTTTGTTGAAATCGGAGCTCTGGATACCTTTTATTAAGATTTGAATGTTTCATGCTGAAAATATCGACTCGAAATTCGTGTTGAATGATGAAAATTTGTTGGTGATGTATCGATATATATATATATATATAAAGGTATTTTATGAACAAAAACTATGCAAGAATATCCTCATACAAATTATATTAATATAGATTAGAAAATTATTGGATGAGCAATAAGATTAGTACGGTATAAACCTAATGAACACAGCTTAAAATCTTAATATATTTTATAACATCCTATCCTGCCACAATTTTTTTTCATATATTATTAGAATAAAATCAAGATGAATGTTCTTCTAAATTGAATTTAATCATTAATATTAATATTTTATTTTTGATTTGTTACATGTGAGAAAATGAAGTCAGCATATTGATTGATATCTTTATGAAGGATTTGTTGGGTTTACATTAATATTTATTCTCAAGTTCATCAGAGTAAATGATAAAATCCAATAAATTTATGATTGATATATTTATATATTTGCAAAATAATTTTATGACTTAAAGCACATAAATTTACACCAATTACATTTCCAATGATGTATATTACATGGTTCAAAATTTTGACCATATAGGTGATACGGAGATGTTATTAAGCATGCCAAGAAATATGGCATTTTCTTGCACTGCAAGAAACTTTAATTTCCTTGTATTCAGGATGCCCAAAAACATAATTCTCACTTTTCAGCTTTTACATTTACACCATAGCTTTGAGAATTATAGTGATCATAAATTTGCGGCGGTAAAGTAGTATATTGTCATTTTGGTGTTGTGCGAAGATCTTACATAAACTAAAAAGTTAGTAGAAAAAACAACAGTAGTTTTTATATGAAGAATATGAAGAGTCAAAATCATGGTATCTGTCCCAATTGAAATACTTCCACAATGTCGATGTTGGTTACAAAACTTTGCCAATTATTGAATAGATAGAAGCAATATTACAGGAGTGGGATGTGACATTTGCTCTGATATTGAGGAAGTGGAGGTGGTCCAGCTTTCATGAAGAAAAGGCGCCTGTGGAGATCGAGTGGCAGAAAGTTTGATGAGAGTGTTGGCAATAATAGTGGCGATGATGATGGTTGAACAACAGAGATCTGATGGTGACAATAATGGTTGTTCGACGGTGATGGCGGTGGTTCGGCTCAATTGAAGTGGAGGCCGGAAAGTAGTGGTTCGACTACGACAATGATCAGACAATGAAGACTTGATGGTTATGAAGGTGATCCAATTGTGTCGATGTTCAGATGAGGGTGGTCAAACAACAATGGTCTGGTGATGACAACTATGGTCCGATAGTGACGGTGGCTAGACGATGATTGTCGAGGCAATGGCGTTTTGGTGGTGACGGCACCCTAACGATGGTGGTCGAGCAATGGTGCTCTAGTGGCAGAGATGCATGGTTAGATAGTGGTGGTCGGACAATTGTGATCCGATGGCAGCCACAGTGGTCTGATAGTGGCATCGGCCAGACAACAATGGCGTGGCGACAATGGTCTGGCAGTGGTAACAGTGGTCCAACAATAGCGATAACCAGACGACAGTGAAACATGATAGCGGTCTGATGGCTACTGTGAACAATGACCAGACAACGACAACGGTGGTTCGACTGTGGCGGTGACGGTGATTAAACGGTGATGATTAGGCCATTGTAGTCAACTGTTAGAAAGAAAAATTCATTATGTTAAAAACGTGGAGCACAATTTAAGATGTATATTCATGATAACTAGGTTGAAAGAAAATGATAATTTTTTTTATTCATAAATTATTTTTAGCATGATAAAACAAATAAAAATTTTGACAAGTAATTTTTATTTCCCACTAACCAAAAAAATATAATCATAAAACAAAAGGACAACCAAACGTGCGGAACCACGCCCCCTACCGACTACGTTTACACGTGACACGCGTGCGTATCCATTCCACCGCAAGTGTGAATCGCGCAGTCTTCCGCAAGTGCGGCCTACGTGAAGCTGCTGAAGCCAACCCTTCGACATTCTCAATAAAATTCCGCCGCCACGCCTTTCCTCCCACCACAATCCCAACCATTGGATCGTCATCAGATTTCCCTACGCGTCGGCCAATAGAGGAGCCGTAAATTAAATTGTCTTCTTCTTCGCTTTTCTGATATATAAAAAATCGCTTCTTGGTCTCCTCGCCTGCTTCCAGGAAATTCATCTGCCGTGGTGGGTCTTCAATGGCCAGCTATATGCAGCAACCTGGAAGCTATCCTCTGCTTTTCTTTATATAAGAATCAGAATCAGAAGACCAGAGAGAGAGAGAGAGAAAGAGAGAGATGGGGAGACCGGAGAAGGAAGGGAGGTGTAGGAAGCATCCAATTCACAAGAACTCTAATGGTGTTTGCCCTTACTGTCTTCGAGATAGGCTTGCTAATATCTCCGGCTCTTCGTCTTCATCGAGAAACAACCCTGATTCTTCAACGTCTTCCGTTTCTTCGACTGCATATTCATCGTACGACTCCGATGTTTCTTCTTCTGCTGGCCGGTCGTATGAAGAACGAGAAAGGAGGAGTTTGTTTCAGCTGTTGAGAGGGAGGAAGAGGGTGCTGAAGAGCAGTCTTTCGTTTAATTTAGGAAAGGAGAGGGAGAAGGTGGATGGGAAGGGAGAGGAGGAGGAGAGTAAGATGAAGAAGGGAGGTGGGAAGGTTTGGGTGAAGTTTGTGATGAGGGGTGGATTGGGGAAGAAGAAAGATGAGGGGGGAGGTAGGTCGACGTTGTCTCATTCCAAAACCGTCAAGGAGAAGGGGGGAGGTAGGTCGACGTTGTCTCATTCCAAGACCCTCAAGGAGAAGCCTTCTTCAAAGTGGAGTTTGTTTTCTTAGGCCAGGAGAAAATATTACATATTTTGTAAGTATGTGAGGATAATGATGGATATGATGTGTTTGGTATTGTAATTTCACTCATCATATGTGATGTGATATTTTCATCTAAGGATTATCTGCACATACTTACAAAATATATAATATTTTCTCTCAATGTGATATGATCATGTTGATATATCTTATTTTTTTTATTAGAAATTTTTAAGATTGTGATAAGAGAGGTTTGGAGTGATTGGTATAGATTGTTTGTATGTAGTTTGTTTAGCAAGTTTAGTTTTATAGCAGCTGCAATTATTTTTATTGGTTTTGTTCTTGCTAATAAGCATGGGGGAAAAGATGTAATTTGTGTTAATAAGGCATAATAAGCTTTTCATTAGAAATTATAATCGCTCTTTTGGTTGCTTAAGATAGAAATAATAATTATCTATTAAAAAGTTGGAGTTTGATAAATTTATCTTTAGGGTGGATGCAATTATTAATCAATATAGATTTTATTCTGACAAATAGAATGAGTTAAACAAAATTTCAATTAGAAGCATGTAAATGAACTGATATATATATATAATATATATATATATATATATAT